CGCACACATGCAGAGGAAGCTGAGTCAGCTCAGTTATGAACTTTGGGTCTGCAGGCGTGATTATTCGCCGCCAGTGACACATCAGAAGCGGTATTTTCAATGACATCATTGGCGTGAAGCATGTGATGTGTGGCGGTGTTTGGGTTATTGGGGTCTGTTGCAGATCTCTGGGTGTCAAATCCTCAATGTATTCGGCTTTCTCACTCCCACAGTGGAAATTCTCACACACAGATGGAAATACATCTGAAAACAAACACTTAGTTACTGACAAAGGTACTGCTTTCGTGTGACAGATATTGTTTTCAAATCTGATTTTCTTTGACATTTTATACCTAAATAAAGCTTCGTAAACAAGTTATTGACATATACAGGTGCATCTCAATAAATTAGAATGTTGTATTTTCCACGACATTCTAATTTATTGAGATGCACCTGTATAATTCTGAATTAGCTGCATAATGATAAGGTAACTTTTTACAATACGATTGTTTATGTTAACATTAGTTAACGCTTTAAAATACATTAATGTAATTTAAGAATAGATTATTCTTCCGTTAATACATAACATTAGTAAACAATAATAACAATATTTACAACATCACCATTAATACATTCTGCACAATTAGTGTTAAATTAGTTGTTAGTTCAAACCTTATAATAATAATAATAATAATAATAATAATAAATTATTATTATTAATATTATCATCATCATCATCATCATGAAAATACTTCATGAAAAGTCAAAAAGCCCAAAATCTCAAAAATCTTTAAATTTTGATCAAAAGTGATGCTTTCTGCAAAAATATTAATCAGCAGAACTTTTAACACTGACAAAAACAAGAAATATTTCCTGATCTCCAAAACCAGCAAATTATAATAATTTAAGAACATAGAAAAACTGGAGTAATGGCTACTGATAAATCAGCGTTACCATGACATAAATAAATTAAATTTTAAAATATATTAAAATACAAAACAATTATTTTAAACATTACAAAAAAATCTTATTTTGAATATACAATTTCTACTAATGATTGATTCTGTATTATATTTAAAATTATTTTCAGTGTTATTAATGATCATCATTATAAGGTGCTGCAAGATTTAAAGTGCTATAATGCTGAAGAAATTTAAACTGATATTAATTTCAGCATATAAAGTGCATAAAGTACAATCAATGCAATCACTACTTGAATATACATATATATATATATATATATATATAGTGACAGTCAGTGCTCTTTTTTTTTTCTCTGCGAGACACTCATAGTCTTCATTAACCAAAATCAGTCATCTTACAGTGTGAAGGTCACAGACTCTCATGTGATGATTTGAAAATGCTGAAGAACACTGAAGACTATTCTAGAGCTCTCAGACAGAGCTGCAGGTATCACACTGTTTTATTAAAGAACATGAAGTCAAGAGAGACTTGTATATTCAGGAAACTGTAATGGGACAACTAGCGAGTAACACATGGCACATAAGCGGTACATGAGAAACACCTTGTCCTGTGGACCTTACCTAGTAATTGCTTTTGTCACCTATAGCTGGGCGAAATTTGCCTTGGACAGAATTCAAGAGAGCAAAAGCCGTCTGTTGTTTCAACAGTATTTGAAATTAATGCTGTGACACATTTTCAGATTGCATGTATGTGTGACACTGAACCAGATGCATTTTTCCATGCAAGTTCCCATGTGAATTGTCTCTGTGGTGCATATCTGTATCAGACAGATAGTCGTATAGACAATACTAGACTAAATATAACACAATCAAACAGTGAATAAACAGGATATAAACACATACAAATTATCATCTGAATTCACATGTCAGCAGCTCAGCGAAAAAAAGAAACGAGCAAATACAATAGGCATTGTCTTTAAAGGTGAATCTTGTTAAACTGGTCTTTCTCCACTCGTGATTTTCAATGTGCTGACGCCTGCCAGGAAAGCAGCTTTTTTCCTGTTCTGTCTTAGTGTTTTATTCCAACTTCCTTTTTGAAGCAGCTGAGAGGGAGAAATGTTTCTGGCGTGTCTTAAGTGAACGTGATTTACAGCTGAACTTCAATAGAAAAAAAAACAACAACTAATAAACAGCAGTCAGCTAGTTGAACTTTCACTCCATTAGTCCCATATGCTTTCCTTTGTCATTTTAGGTTAGTTTTAATTAAATGTACAATGTCTGGTGCTGTAATGTTTAGCTGAGGTACACTTCCATTCAAAAGTTTGGTATCAGCAAGATTTTAATGTTTCTTAAAGAAGTATCTTTTGCTCATCAAGGCTGAATTTATTTGATCAAAAATAGAGAAAAAAACAGTAATATTGTGAAATATTATTACAATTTAAAACAACCGTTTTACATTTAGCTATATTATCAGCATATGAAGGAGATTTGTCTCTCGTCGTCTAATGCCGAGTTCACACTGCACGATTTTAGCCCGATTTTTCAGTCGCTGACAGGTTTTGCGAAATCGCCGACAAATGCCCGAATCGGAGGCAAATCGGTGCTCGTTCACGCGAGTGACAATCACGCAGTGTGAATTATCAAAGACGCGATCTGAGGGAATCGCCGACGCGTCGCCGACGCCCGTGCGTTAAATATTTGGTATGCTAAATATCTGGAGCTGTCGGCGATTCACAATCACGCTGTGTGAAATGAGTTCTGACTGAAAAACACATCGGCGATGACCTACAGCCAATGAGAGACCAAGATACAGGGCAGCGGGAAGTTCGGGGAGGAGTTATATGAAACGTAGTTTGCGTAGTGTTGCCAAATCCGCGATTGCTTCCGGTTGTTTTTTATGTCAGCAGGTTGAAGCGACCCCTAATAACATGATATTTAGGCCCTGGAATGTTAATTGTACCAGAAGAACCCCGCCAAAAAAATTTGTATTTCTGTGTATTTTACCCCCCGAATGCGATTTTTACTGGGGACCCCCTCGAAAGCAATCTCGTTTACGCGAGTGACAATCACGCAGTGTGAATTATCAAAGACGCGATCTGAGGGAATCGCCGATGCGTCGCCGACGCCCGTGAAATATTTGGCATGCTAAATATCTGGAGCTGTCGGCGATTCACAATCACGCTGTGTGAAATGAGTTCTGACTGAAACACATCGGTGATGACCTACAGCCAATGAGAGACCAAGATACAGGGCAGGGGGAAGTTCGGGGAGGAGTTATATGAAACGTAGTTTGCGGACCAGTGTTGCCAAATCCGCGATTGCCGCCGGTTGTTTTTTATGTCAGCAGGTTGAAGCGACCCCAATAATGTGATATTTAGGCCCTGGAATGTGAATTGTACCAGGAGAACCCCGCCAAAAAAATGTGTATTTTACCCCCCGAAAGCGATTTTTACTGGGAAAGCAATTGGGCTATTTTCAGGCTAGTTTTGAGTAGTAATTGGGTGGGTTTTGTAGCGAAAACCTGGCAACCCTGCACCAGACAGAGCTGTCGGCGATTCTTCCTATTGTAAAGTCATGCAGTGTGTAACCTCCTGTCGTCATTCCATCGTGCAGTGTGAACACAGCAACAACTGAATGCTACCCCAGATAGTCGTTCAGTGTGAAACCAACAGTGATGCGACGTCTTTGAAAATCGTGCAGTGTGAAATCGGGCATAAAAGGATATGCGCCGTTAATGCAGCGTCAGATGCTGAAAGCGCCGTCAGTTTTTACTTTCACTTTCTAGTGAATCGACTGAGATTAAGAGGTTCACCTTCGCCCGAATAACTCTTGCGCAAAGTTTGCACGTTGCTTGTGTGATATCCATTGTTTTTACTGATATTTTTTAACTCAGCATCATCAGATTAAGATTTTTTTTTGTCAAATCAGCAAAAACTTTTTAAGATGCACAGTAATTACATATTAAAATAATATTTTAGTAATAAATACAATTATTATTTCATTATTATTATTTTATATTTAAAAATAAGGAATTAGGGTTAGGTAATATTTAATATTTAAGATCAAGTAACTGTGACACTGACAATGTGAAACCCTGGAAATAAAATGATAGATAGATAGATAGATAGATATTTTTAGAATTTAATTAACCCTTAAATGTATACCTCGGGTCTTTAGCGACCCGGGACATCATTCTCTACCCTCTCCCCTTCATTTTTTTTTTAGTTAGACATCAACTTTCTTAGTATTCCTCAATCTATTAATTATAAACCAATTTTTTATAAAAAAAAATAGTAAAATATAAAAGAATGACAGTTTTCTTATAATTTGTTTGTAAAAAGTGTATAGGGTCGCTAGAGACCCGAGGTATTTAAATGTGTAAGTATTTTATCCTGCACAACTATATTTACATATCTGATGACTCAATATGTGCAATGCATCTTTTTTCATCTGATGACTCAATTTGTGCAATGCATCTTTTTTCCTCAAGGTGGCACTGTTTGATACACAATGATGACGTGACGTTTCACTCATAATTACCGCAGGCATAAAACAGACGAATATCAGCAAAAATTTTACTGGTTTGAATGGCTTTACTGGAGCGCAATTACTATACGCAATGAAATATAAATGTCACTGTCATTTGATGCTGGATGTGGTAAATAAGCTGCCAGTGACCAAAATATTGAATATGAAGTAATTGAAAACGATAGTTTTGAGAGTATGGTTGAAATAGTGAATATGAGGCAGATGCTGAATGTACTGTGGAAGTGCACTCTGACGATGACAGCAAAGGTAAAATCATCTGCTCAAATTGAGCCCTTTTAAGTTTCAAAAGGTAACGAAATATGCTTTATTATATTCTTCTGTAATTGTTCTTAAAATATCAAGATAGTTTTTTTGCTGTTGCAGCAGTTGGAGATCCATCCATGCTGGATATATAGGAATATGTAATGATGATTGGCGAAACATTCATGCATTTAAGGGTTAAAACAAATATTTACAATATTGTGACATATCCAGCCCCCCAACCCACCGACCCTTGAGTTCGCTGTTGGGGGGCGTGGATTTGCACTACGCCACTGGACTACGTCCGTTAGTTAGCCTAGTGCCCGCTCGCTTTTGTCCAGGCCCGCCCAAAAATAAAATTCTGGCTACGCCACTTGTTTCACATGATCCTTTAGAAATCATTGTAATATGCTGATTTGGTGTTTAAAAAAATTTAAATTTTCATTTGAGCTGAAAACAGTTGTGCTGCTTTTGTTGAAACTGTGATGCATTTCTTTTATGAATTTAAAGTTCACAAGAACAACATTTATTTGAAATAACATTTAACCTTTTGTAACATCATATCACTTTTGATCAATTGAATGCATCTTTACTAAATAAAAGCATTAATTTATGTCAAAAAAAAATAGACTATACCAATAAAAGTACATAACATACTCTGTAAATCTACAGTACAAAAATTAATATTTCATCATTTACTCATCTCAAACCTGCTTGACTTTCTTCTGTGGAAGACAAAAGGAAAGTTAGACAGAATGACAGCCTTACTCTCCATTCACTTCTTTTGCATTTTTCCCTTCCTTCATACAATGACAGTGACTGAGGCTGTCTTTCATTCTGCTGAACATCTTTTATGTTCCACAGAAGAAAGTAAGTCATAGCGGAATGGCATGAGGGTGAGGAAATGATGAAAGAACTTTCACATGTGGGTGAAATATCCTTTTATGGGGGTAATATGTTTTGCATACATATTAGAGCTGCATTTTATCTGACACAAAAACAAATAATGTTTTTTTGTTAAAGAATAAACATTCTCCATTGGTGACATCAAACGTGAAAAGATGATTTTACATTAAATCAAAAGGAAAGGAAAGAAACCAACCAGGGATGCAGTTCTCAAAAGCATTATTAGCCAACTATCTAAAACTAAAACATCCATGGCACCCATTCACTGCAGAGGATCCATTGGTGAGCAAGTGATGTAATGCTAAAGTTCTCCAAATCTGTTTTGATAAAGAAACAAACTCATCTACATCCTGGATGAACTGAGGGTGAGTACATTTCCAGCAAATGTTAATTTTTAGGTGAACTATATCTTTAAGACAGTTTTTGCAATGAATTTAGGATTTCACTTTAATATTGATGGTATCATGTTTATGTTTGATACGACATTCTGAACAGGAGCTCTGACAGGACTGCTAATGTGATAGATCTGTGAAGATGACAATTCTGTCTGTGTTTGTTCTCTGTAGGAGCTGAGACTTTGTGGCAGGTGATTGCGGGTACTTGTTATTTCCGTCATAGAACATAATAACATGGAAGATGTTAAGGGTCCGTTCTTTGCTCTAGGATATATTGGGTTTGTGTTGTCATAGTTATAAGAGAAAATTGAAAGAGGTTATAGTGATATACATACATAGTGTAAAGGCAGACAACAAATAGACCCTCAGATTATTATTGTATCTGTCAGTGCAGACGGTGAATGTCATTATAAAAAAAAAAAAACACTTGAGAAGAACTTCCAGCAACAATGATTCATTGTCACTGATGTAAAGACATGTTTGAAAAGACATGAAAAGCATAACATTTTACAAGAAGACCCACTTGCCATAGAATCAAGAAAAATTCTGTTCAGAAATATCATGATACAGCTATTGAGATTCAGGTCATACATTAAATCTTAATATCAAGATAAGTCAAATGTACATATAAACTGATTTATACGGTATCTGATGTATATTATACAACAGAATGACAAGAGCTGGTGAAATTCACCAGATACAGTTTGACCCTTTTTCAAGTTACAGATGTTTCTATTGGGCAACATGGGCACATATTTTCATTCATTCATTCATTCATTCATTCATGCATTCATTCATTCATTCATGATTGCTTGGAGAATGAATGATAATTTTAACATGTTTTTTGAAAATCTGGGAACACAATACCGTCGACCTGATGGTATCAATTCATAAGTCAAATGTACATATAAACTACTATTTCCTAAACATTTGAATAAGTTTGACATGCAATGTTTGTAAGCTCTTTGTGGCCTTGTTAACTCCAGAGCAAAGTCGATCAGAAACTGTAGCATGTTAAAATCAGGCTTTGTACAGGACAGCCAGACTGCAGCGCTCATTAGTTTGTTCTTGTGAGCCCACCAAAAAGAGGTGGAACACACAAGGGCTGCGTGTTTGCAAGGGTGTCGAACCTTGATTTTTTTGGCTTCACATTTAAAGGTTTTATAAGACTTTTTTTTTTATGGCATCATTAACTCCAAAGCAAAGGAGGGCAGAAACTTAATTAGTCATTTCATGTTTGCACATACATTATGTGTAAGTTAGTGTAGAAAAATACATTAATTAAACACAAAGATGTTGTGTTTAAAAACAGCCACAATTGTACAGGAGACAAATTACAAAAGTAAATATTAATACCTTTTTTAATTTATATTTTATATTAAAATTCAATTTAAAGTTGATAAATTACATATTGTTTTGCTATTTTAAAATGCAATTTAAAATGTAATTTATTCCTGTAATGACAAAGCTGAGATTTATTTATGTATTTATTTATTTGTTTGTTTGGTTGGTTTGCTTGCTCTAACCATAATGGTAATATTTTAAACAATATAAAAATATACAAAATACTAAAAAGCATAATGAAAATATGGATTTTTGGATATGAACTGCTTTTTGACATATATAGTTATAAAACAGAATGATAGTACAATTAGATCCTGAATGAATGAATGAATGAATGAACGAACGAACGAACGAACGAACGAACGAACGAACGAACGAACGAACAATAAATCAATCTGTCAATCAGTTCGTCAGGCAGCTAAACTTCCTTGCTAATTCCTCAGATACGCAAAATACCAAATGATACTTCAGTGATTTAGCCAGAGGACAACTGTGAAGGTAAATGTCTACAAAAGACCAATGGATTTATTCTGTTCATCTTGACTGCACAATCGCCTCAGGACCATATACTGATTCATACAGTATCTGATGTATATACAACAGAATGGCAAGAGCTGGTGAAATTCACCAGATACAGTTTGATGTGCACATATTTTCATTCATTAATGTATTCATTCATTCATTCATTCATTAATTCATTCATTTATGTTTTTTACAGGTTGTTAGAGCATTTCAGATCAAAATGTCCAGTATAGTCAGTGGATTTGACAAAGGTTGTGAGGTTAAAAGATATTCAAGGGCTTTACTTGGGGCAGCTAGCAGTTTTTCGCAAGATGTCCTTTGAGATATTTGGGATATGAAAAAAAAATACCCAAGAAGCACACCTCAGAAGCCCCCACCCACACTTTTTTTTTGGATACAACAATCTTACAATGTGCATCAGACTATGTTAAGGTGGAACATGCTTTTTTTATACCACACCAAAAATAGTTTTGATATTTTGATTTGACAATGTAAAAGAAAAAAAATGCTGGGTTGTGAACTACTATTTCATGAGTTTACCTACCCATCCAGTCCTGATGGTTAATGGTAAACGAACTTGGCTTGCTGTCCTTAATGGAGGCTCGAACCCGAGGCTCGGCTTGAGCGCCGAGTTCAACCCCCCATTACGGTACTACCTAGAGGGAGAAAAACTGAAATAGAGGAGGAGATGGGTAGGTGGAGGGATGCCGGAAGAAGAATTGACACCGGGAGGTGCTATGAAAGCTGCTTATATAGGCTCGTAATGATAATTGACAAGACTGAATGATTAGGCTCTTCCCGAACCTTCGTTTGGATCTTTATTAAAAATGTGTGTGTGTGTGTGTGTGTGTGTGTGTGTGTACTTGTTTATGCTACATTGCAGGGACCAAATGTCCCCACAAGGATAGCAAAACCTGAACATTTTGACATGGTCCCCACGAGGGAAAAAAATATAAAAAATAGTAAATGATGTTTATCTGAAAGTGTAACAATTCAAACAGGTTTTCTGTAAAGGGTAGGTTTAGGGTTAGGGTTAGGTTAGGGGATATAAAATATCGTTTGGTAAGTATAAAAGTAATAGAAGTCTATGGAAAGTCCCCACAATTCACAGAAACAAACAAACACTTTAATTTTTTTTTTTGTGCTACATGGTTAAAGGAAATAGAGAAAAGAGGGCTGTGGTGTTGCCTTTTGTCCAAAAGGTAGGGAAACTTCATATATGGATGGATATGACAGATTTCAGTTCAGTATTTATGTATCCCCAAAGAGAAAGTATGTTTGCAGCATACACTAACACAGACATTTGACAATTCACATTAGGCATATATAAATACATATAAACAATAATTTAATAACCAGTCTAACTGACCATCAGTTACTGCTAGAGGAAGTAGAATGTAAAAACTTGACTGCTTGGAGAATTAATGATAATTTTAACCTGTTTTTCGAACATCTGGGAGCACAATACCATCGACCTGATGGTAACAATTCAGGTCGACGTTATATATTCATGGACAAGACTAGATGACACTGGAAACAGTCCTGAACTTTTCTAGCACCTTCTGGAGCAGCTGTTCCATCTGCGGATGGCAGCTTTCATATAGACAGTTCAGAGAGTCTGGGTTTGAAATTTGACAAGTGACCCACATAAACCAGACACCAAACTGCCAGCATCCTCTTGGTGACCTGAAGGAAGTCTTTTCTTTAGCTGAAAGAAATAGGCACCTGCCTTTCGTTTAGCCTAAAAACAGAAATAAAGTTGGACTAACTGATGAGCTCATCCACTCATAATGGGGTAACGGTCTCAAGCTGGAACTTAATTGTGTTGCTGGAAAGGTTCATGGGGCCAGAAGGTGCCGTTGGGTTTTGGAAGCAGACAACAATGTGTCTGGACCAAGCGATTTGCTATTCCTCAAAGAATCCTATATTCTTCTTCCTCTCAACTTCCTCTTTAATAGCGTCTCTGAGCCTCTGGCACCAGAACGGGCTTTACAATCATTCCTGGTGGGGTTATTATATCATGATGGATTACTTGGCCATCGCCAGGCTAGTCTTGGATAAGACATCTCTGTACTGCTCAATGGATTGTTTTATCTCTTGTCGTTGGTAGGAAGACAGCTGTTCCTCGGGGTGGATGTCCACACTTGCGTCTTGTCCTGTGCTGACACTGGCTTGATCTATGTGACACTACTGCTTATTTGGGTGACAATGCCGAATAACACACATATGGCCTCACTAGGATTATTTCACATATGTTTGGAAAAGGCATGGGCAGGGTTTATTTATTTATTTATTTGTTTGTTTGTTTGTTTTGTTTGTTTTTTGTCTGTCTGTCTGTTTGTCTGTGTATGTGTGTGTGTGTGTATGTATGTATGTATGCATGTATGTTTTGTAGGCATAGTTTTTTTTTTTTGTCTTTTCATAGTCTTTTTAACAGTACAATATGTTAAATGTAATTTTTTTTGTAAATGTCATGTCTCATTCATTAATTTTGCTCTGAATAAAATGACAATGAATGAAAGTAACTTTGAAATGTAGCATTTAAAAATATATTACACTTATATTACACAAACACGGTAATGACTTGTGTATACATACACACACACACACAAAATTATATTAAATTACATTGAAATATAAAAGTTATTTTAAAATTTAATATTTACAATATTGCTTTTTCCAGTGTTTTTGATCAAATACATAAACAAAAATATAAGTCAAAAATTTAAATGATGTGAAAATGAATCCTTATAGAGTATAACTGTATCATAATTAATACAGTTTTATATTATTCTTTGAATTATTTATGGTTCAGTTATTCATGGTCCATGTTTTATTATTATTATTATTTTTTAATGGAAATATGATATATGACCACAATATGTGGAATTTTACACACACACACACACACACACACACAAGTACATAGTTATTTTTTTATATATACAAATTAAAGGGTTAATTCCCCCAAAAATGAAAATTAGCCTGTGTTTTACTCACCCTCGAGGCATTCTAGGTGTATATAACTTTCTTCTTTCAGACGAATCCAATCGGAGTTATATTAAAAATTGTCCTGGCTATTCCAAGCTCTATCATTGCAATCAGCGGGTGTTGCAGTTGAACAGTCCACAAGTCATCAAATAAAGCGTGCGCATCCATAATAAAACGTGCCTCACACAGCTTTGGGGGGTGAATAAAGGCCTCCTGTAGTGAATCCATGCATTTTTGTAAGAAAAATATCCATATTTCAAATGTAATAAACAATTTTCAAAAATTCAAAACCACACCGTGAGCTCAAAACAGGAAACACTTTAAATACACATGACTAGCGGAGGGACACAATGAGGAACACCTGAAATCAATAAACATAATTAAACATGAGGGAAAACTGGGTCACAGAACACATGTGGAGCAAAACACAAAACACGGAACTGACATTAAGACAAATACAATAGATACAAATCAAATATTAAATAAACTAGTTTTTCTAATACAGTAGGTTTAACATGTATACATTTATTTAACATATTTTGTTGTTTGATTAACATTAAAGGGGTCATATGATGCGATTTCAATTTTTCCTTTCTCTTTTGAGTGTTACAAGCTCTTGGTGCATAAAGAAGATCTGTAAAGTTGCAAAGACTAAAGTCTCAAATCCAAAGAGATATTATTTATAAAAGTTAAGAGTCAGCCACACCTACCTAAAACGGCTCGTTCTAACACGCCCCCACATATCTACGTCACGATGTGGAAAGATTTGCATAACACCGCCCAAATGTTCACACAAAGAAAGAAGGAGTAACTTTTATTCTCGCTGTAGTATTGTTGACACTGCAGCCATGTCGTGAAGACGCTGTGTGCTTCCTTGTGAAAGCGAAACTACTTTGTTTGGCCTTCCAAAAGAGGACAATATCAGCTTCGTCATGCCTAGAGCTGATGCGTGCTGGTTGCTGAGGGAATACATCAACTTAGTGCTGTGGATCACCGGATATGCTTTCACCGTTTTCACCGCTCCTTCGTCGGATCCACCGGGACCGCCGTTCTCGATCCCGCCGCCTCAGCTCACGCTAAGCCGCGGCTT